AAAGGCGGTATAATTGCTTATGGATAGGTGGCAGAAACTAAATTACAGGGAAACAAAATTGGCCAAATCCCTTTGCAACAACCTTACAATTAAAGCAACTCTAGAATTAGTTAATGGGATTTGTGCTTCTCCCTTTATAGATGAGAACATGGTGGCCCAGAAAGGAGAAGTGGCCTACCCAAGGTCACAGTCAATTAGTGGCGAAGCTGTGAATCAAATCCAGGTCTGCTGACTCTTCGGGGTCCTTCGAACCTCACACTGTAGGCGTATTTGGAGGGTTGGATGGCAGAGGTGAGGGAAGAATCCTGGCTCGAGCTATTTGCATTTGGCAGACTCTCTTGGTGTTTTCTGTTGACTCAGTTCCGGGACAAATTTCCTCCTGCCTTTCCTCAGCATTGGTTTGGGCCAGCTGCGGGTCCCCACTGTGAGGTGGCCACGTGGAGCAGGTGGGCCAGGCATTTTCATTTCATAGTCCATTAGCTCTTGGCAGAGTAACTTTTTTTTTGTATCCTTGGCCTCCCAGGTCTTATATCACCTGCTAGGTTGGCGGAGGAGGCTATGGTCTGGGAATCTGATGCACAGATCCAGCTAATGGGGCTGGATTTGGCTTCGTAAAACTTTCCATCAGCTGCTGAGAACCTCACTCAAAGATACTTTGTCCTGGTTTTGATATTTTTCCCTCCTACAAGTTCTTGTTCACACACTATTCTTCAAGGTGAGAAAGATACGGGAGACAGAGGTAGACCGAGAGACGGGAAGGAGGTAGAGTTAGGGAAATATAGGGAGGCAAAGAGAAACAGAATCAGTGAAGAACAGGGACCGTGCAAGATGAGAGAAGAGCCAGAGGGGCCAGAAAGTCAGGGAAAAAAAAAAAACAGAACAATTCAGAGGGAAGAGAAAAGGAGAAGGAGGCATCAGTGGGAGAAATGCAGAAGAGAAGATGATGTTATAGAACACAGCTAAGAGAATCTAAGCAAACCCTTTCATGGTGTCGATAGGAGATAAATTTCCCCAAGGGACACACTGAGCTAAGTCTCAGAGCCAGTATCAGAACTCAAGCTGCCTAGTTCTTTCTCTGGAATGCACTTGGTTCCTTGCAACCAAAGATGCCCAACAAATATTGTATTGGCTAAATAAATGAGAGCTGAGATGGTCAAGGGACTGTAGCCATGTCAAATGAGACATATTTAAAATTGGTAATAGGCTGGAGGAGAGAAGTTTCCAGACCCCATGACCAGTGACATCAAATGTTTGAAGGGCTGCCATTTGAATAATGATTAGATTGGATATGTGTGTGCTTTCGGGATCAAACCAGGACCAGCGGGTGACAGCCGCAGGTACATGGATTTGGGATCAAAATAAATGGTCTACGCCTCCAGAGAAGCACATGCTTCCTAGCGGAAGGCTTGTAAGAAACATCTGAACTACCATGTGGCAGGAATGTTACAGCTGGAATCGAAGCAGTAATATGCAGCAAAGGCAAATGGTTTTGTTGGGCAATTTCTACCCAATTCTGAAGACTCCAAATCAGTGATCATCTATGGACAGGCCCTCTGTACGTCTCCTGAAACGGGATACGGAAGGGTGTGTGTGTGTGTGTGTGTGTGTGTGTGTGTGTGTTGGACTGTGTGTGGTCAATGTGGCAGGCATCACAATCTCCTTCCTTGAACAGTTCTGGGTAGGTTTTTACCGGTGAGAGGAACTTGGGCAGCATTTGGAAGGCGGAAATGAAAAGGGCGTTGTTTTCTGGAGGCTGTGGTGGTCGTATTTGCTGGTTGTGCAGACTTCTGCAAGATCTCCCACTTCATAGCTCTGGGATAAAATGCAGATTCCTGAGCCCCACTCCAAACCTATTAAATCAGAATCTTAAAGTCTGAGAATTTCTTGGAAGGGAAGAGTCTAGATCCAGAATAGAATTCTGTTGTCTAGACCTTCTGCATTTAAGGTGTGGGAGAAAAGGCAACTCAGGAGTGGCTCAGGAGAATACTGATGGGCACCAGGTGCCTAAATTCTGGTGCAAAACAATCATCAGTCCTGACAAGAACCCCCCAGGCAGGGATGTCAGCCTATGAGGCCTAGGTTTGAATCCCGGATCCTCTGTTTGCTGTGTAAACTCGCACAATTCCTTAACCTCTCTGATCTTGTTTTCTCTGTAAAGTGAGGAGAGTAGTGTCCAGCTCATGGGATTGTTTACTCTGCCCCATTTATTCATCCATCAAACATTCATGGAGTACCTATGATGTGCCAGGCCCTGCAGTCTAAATTACAGGTACCATTGCCTTTTCATTTGGTCTACCATGGAGTGGTTCTAAAGTTCAAATATAACAGTATTTGTGTATTTCCAAATTCAGAATGCTATTCAGAATGATGAGCACTACAGATTGTTCGGCACATTTTCACATCCCCTTTCTTTTGGACATAGGTCCTGCACCCTGCAACCCAAGGGTAGGCGCACGATTCAGCCTTGGCTAATCCTCAGGTACCATTCCCTTGGTCGTAGTGATCGGGATTAGGGTGGACAGGTGACTCAAGCAAGACCAGTCAGATATATTCTCTGGGGTTGTTACATGGACATTGGGAGAAAGATGTTTCCATTCTCTTAGAGTTGCCAAGCTGTGAAGAAAGAAGTCTGGGATGTTAGTGCCATATTGTCACCACATAAAAAAAAAAAAAAAAAGCTGGACCGTAGGATGTGTTGGAGGAAGGAATTTCCCCTGAATGTATGCGTGGCCTTTCTCCACCCTTTACTCATTCTGCTAGACTGAGTCATGTGACTGGTAGGTGTGGGAAGACTGAGCAAAAGAAATCCCGTTTTGAGGATAATTTTTTTTAAACTTTACTTATTTTGAGAGAGCGCGCACACGCATGCACTCAAGAGCAGAGGAGGGGCAGAGAGGAGAGAAAGAGAGAGAATCCCACGGAGGTTCCTCGTGGTCAGTGGGGAGACCGACACGGGGCTCGAATCCAGAACAGTGAGATTGTGACCTGAGCTGAAACCGAGTGGGACGCTTACCCAACTGAGCCACCCAGGTGCCCCGGGCATAATTTTTTAACTCAGAGGCAGTTTTTAAAAAAGTATTTGCTAGTAAAAATTGATATGAAGTTTTTGGAGGACGTTTAAATATAAAAGCTAGACATATTTTCTTTTATTTAAAAAGTTTTTTTAATGTTTATTTTTGAGAGAGAGAATGTGAGCAGGGGAGGGGAAAAGAGAGGGACACAGAGAATCCCAAGCACACTCCATGCTCAGTGAGGAGCCCAACACGGGGCTCGATCTCATGAACCATGAGATCATGACCTGAGCCAAAATGAAGAGTCTGACCCTTAGCCAATGAGCCATCCAGAAATTTGTGTTATAAAACAAATGCATGAAATTACATATGCACAGCATTACCCTAAAATATTCAGAGTTCCAAAATTAAATCGTGTACGCCACTGGAGTTCTCATGATACAGTTTGCTCAGTTCCTTCTGTGCTTTATTCTACATAAACATCAAGGTCTTAATGCTTGTAAGCTCTGTTCTCAGCAATTACCTACCACTCTGAAATATGGACGTTTGGGCCCCCCATTTGTTAATGCTTGGACTGAACATTGCCAGGTTATTTTGAACAAAATCAACCAAAATTTAAAGGTCTTTCAAATTGCACAAAATCCAATTGATTGCACAAATAGTTCTGCTGAATTATTTTCCTTTTACATTTAATATTAACTCATGAAAAAAGCCCCTCTATCCTGGTCACTCTTCTTGTGGGTCTCTCAATTTTCTTAATTACAAAAGAAATTAAAGCCTTGTTGCATCACTATGTTGCACACCTGAAACTAAGGTAACATTGTGTGTCTACTATACTTCCGTTAAAAAAAAGACCTTGAAAGAATTCCAAGTTTTTTTGTTGTGAAAACGTCTAAAAAGGAACACTGAGTTGAAAAAAAAAATGCATTATTTGGAAAAAACTGATTAAAGTACATGCGTATATATGAAATTATTTACTCTTTATCTTAATTTTCAACGTTTACATAATAGAGAAGTGATTTTAATGGACACGGTATAAATTACCTTATAAACTTATAAACTTATTTTCTGCAAATGAGTTTTCAGATAGAATCATTTAATGTCTAACATTTTTTAATTCCTTTTTTTAAAAGTTTATTTATTTATTTTGAGAGAGAGCACATGAGTGGGGAGGGGCAGAGAAAGAAGGAGGGAGAGAATCCCAACCAGGCTCCACGCTATCAGCGCAGAGCCCGATGTGCCGCAGGTCTAACCTACGAACCCTGAGGTTATGACCTGAGCCAGAATCACGAGTCTGATGCTTAGGGGCACCTGGGTGGCTCAGGGGGTTAAGCATCCGACTTTGGCAAAGTCATGAGTCAGGTCCCTGACTCAGAAGGCTAGGGAACTGACTTTGGAGCAGGAACGAGAACGACCCACATCTTCCCATTCATCCACCCAGTAAACATTATGGAATCCCCATGGTGATGGCGCGCTGTTGGAAAAGCTAAAGAAAGTAGCACAGAGGTTGCAAACTAGCAAGCCCCATGTTGTTTGTTCTGTAGGTTTGTTTTCCCTGGGCTACAAGGTGTGTTTTGTTTTGTTTTGTTTTGTTTTGTTTTGTTTTGTTTTGTTTTGTTTAAATGCAAGCCAGTCTTTAGAACCAGACCAACTTTACATGCGAATACAGATGCCCAACTTCTTTTCAGGATTGAGGAATCGGGAGCCCTGGCAATGCTGGTCATAACTTCCCAGGAGATAGCAGTTGGCTGTTGTGGAGTAAGGCTACCCCGTGGAGTGTCAGTTTCACTGTGTTTCCCCCACATTCGATTGCTCCCAGGACTTAGGTCAAATATCAGCAGCCATTTGTCTTTACATGTATATAGTTCATTTTATCAAAGAGAACTGATTCTGTATACCCGTATCTCTGGGATAAGTGGGGAATGAAAGATAGTATGGGGGCCACATGAGGTTTTACGAAAACATACCAAATACTCTGGACTTCCTTAGGGTCCCCTGCCTGGTCCCAGCATTTGACTTTCTGACAACTGAAATAGAAGCTGTGATTCCTGTCCTCTGATATTCTGAATGGAGCAAAAGATGGAGTTGGCCCCCAATTTGCCTGTGTCGCGAACGAAAGCATCAGGATGAAAGTCAAATTCTCGGCGGGAGGTCCGTCATCTCTCTTCCAGGTGCACCCTGACCCAGCCCCTTCTGATGCTGAGCGCCATCTTGGATTTCTAGTTCTAGCAAAATGGAGCTTCTTCTGCGGTCCCTCCAGCTGCAATGCCTGAGGCCTTATTGGATGATAGCCTTCATCCTTTAAGAGTAAACAGAGGTGTTACTACCTGGAGGGAAACTCCGACTCTCTCCCTCTTAATTCTTTGAAGTCTGACTTTAGAGGATCTGTCCTTTCTCCTGGAGAAGGGGTTATTACTCTGTAAACAAATGTGTTCTACAGAAAGGGAAAGGCAATAAGGCTAGTTGGTAGGGAAAAAAAAGTAGTTAAATTATTCAGAAAAAAAGACTGTGAAATAGCCAAACCTAAGAAAGGCAGAGCCCAACCAGGAGAGAAAGTGGCAGAACTATGGAATGCTTGACATTCTTTTGAACCCTAAGAGCGAAGACAGTCAAGATCACAATGGGGTCGGAACAAGTACAGGTAAGAGTTGTATTTTGTGGGGCGCCTGGGTGGCTCAGTGGGTTAAGCATCCGACTTTGGCTCAGGGCATGATCTCACAGTGTGAGTTCGAGACCCGCGTCAGGCTGTGTGCTGACAGCTCGGAGCCTGGAGCCTGCTTCCGATTCTGTGTCCCCCTCTCTCTGTGCCCTTCCCCTGCTCATGCTCTGTCTCTCTCGGTCTCAAAAATAAAAATAAAAACATTAAAAAAAAAAAAGTTGTATTTTGTGTGTGCATGTGTCACTCTTTCACTCCGTGTTGCCCTGACGATAAGGGGTCCACCTCATGTAATGATACTATGTGAGAAAAACCAGGAAAAAAACACTTGCAAATGAACAAACTGGTAATTCAAGATGGAGATGCCTGTGGTCTAATTAGCCTTCTCTTGGGGGAAGGTCTGGGGAGGGGTTTGGAAAGGTCGTAGACAAAGAGCGGGATCATAGAGAAGAGACGATGACTTATGTACCAAAGGGTTAAATGGGAAAGGGAGATGGAGGAGAGAGGGAAGTAGACATACCAATATACTGTAAATCCGTGGGTTTTAATCTAGATTCCGGTCAGATTCAGTGTTAGTCCAAACCGTGTGGCCTAGCTCCTTCACTAACTAGCCTCACTGCTTGGAAGGAAGTGCGTCACTAGTGATCCCCAGCGGACGCTCATTTTCCTGGCATCAGAGCTCAGGACCAGGGGGACAGACGCCTCTGTGGATCGCTTGCTCCGCCTCCCTGCTGCAGAGGGGCGGGCCTACCAGAAAGGGGGAGGATCGGGGGTCTCCCTCCTATGCGGCTCTGCTACTTTGCAGCTCAGGGAGAAACCTATGAGTAAGTGGTTACCTGGGGCTGGAGAGAGAAAAATTCAGACCTCAAGGAAATCACACTGGAAAACGTGCTTTGAAATTAATTTTGAGGGGCGCCTGGGTGGCGCAGTCAGTTCAGCGTCTGACTTGGGCTCGGGTCACGATCTCACGGTTTGCGAGTTCGGGCCCTGCATCAGGCTCTGTGTGGACAGCTCAGAGCCTGGAGCCTGCTTGGGATTCTGTGTCTGCCCCTCTCCCGCCAGCACTCTCTCTCTCTCAAAAGTCAGTAAACATGAAAACTAGAATAAAATTAATTTTGAAAAAAAAAAATTTATTCCTTGGCTCGTGGGAACTCATTCTTCTATGAGTTAAATAAGTTAAAAAAATATATGTGTATACAGTGCTTTCGAGTTGGTGACGCACTTACACGCATTTCGTTTTTATAAAATCCTCGTGAGAAGCACATTATTTTGTAGGATGAAAGAGGAACCGAAGGCAAATGTTGCTCGACCCACTCCCACTGCGCTGCTTCTGACAGTTCTTTGTCCTTTTTCTCTTTTTTCCTAAAAGCAGTTGCAATCTTCTCCTTCCATCTCAAACCTTTGGCTCTCCTGTCCTCCCTTCGCATCCAACGATGGCCTTGTCTTCGCCTGTAGGAGACACGAGTGGATATCCGAGAAGGTCTTTAACTTCTTGCCACTGAGCTTGCACATTTCTCCTTGTCGGTGTGTCCCTTCCCTGACGTGTGACCTCGGGGAGGACTCAGGCTTCTCTGTGTTCAGTTTCTTCACCTGTAAAAGTGGGCCGTAGGGGTAGTTACTTTGTGGAGTTTACTGGGACCAGATTAGTTAATTCAGATAATTCCTTTGTAGTTAATTGTTGCCCAATTATATCGCCTGCGAATTATTCTTCATGGAGATACGATTTGCATATGGTACCCGGAACAAAATTGTGGAGGGGAACAATCTGATTAAGTCTGGCAAATGTATGTATCCAGGTAGCCATCACCCACGTCAAGATAAAGAATGTTCATTTGTTCACCTTCAAAGTCACTTTTCCTCTGCCACCCCCCCCCCCCCCTTCTTTAACCTGGTCCTCAGGCTGCCTCAGGCACCTGCTATCCTGCTTTCTATGCGCAGATGAGTTGTGTCTGTTTGTGAACTTCGTGTAAGTGGAATCACACAGCACACAATCTTTTGTGTCTGGTTTCTTTCGCTGAAGTGTAATCTTTGTAAGACTCATCCCTGTTGCTGCATGGGCCGTGGTTCATCCGTTTTAATTGCCATGTAGCATTCTTTTATACAAATACGCCAAAGTTCACTTCCCATATTCTGCTGGCCGACATTTAAGTTATTTTCAGGTTTGGGCTGTTATGAAAAATGTGGTCGTGGACATTCTTGAATAGGTCTTTTGTGGATCGTATTCATTCATTTCTCCTGAGTGTGTCCCCGGGAGAGGAACTGTCTGGCCAAGGTAAATGTCTTAATTCAGGCTGTTATAACAAAGTACTATGGGCAGGGGGCTTATCAACAAAGTAACCTATATTTCTCACAGTTCTGGAAGCTGGGAGTCAGGGTGCCCATTCTGGGGAGGTCCCTCTTACATGGTGCAGATGGCCAACACCTCACTGTGTCCTCCCAGGGAGAAGGGGAGGGATCTCTCTGGGGTCTCGCTGGCAAGGGCACTCATCCTGTGCATGGGGGCTCCGCCCCCTACCCCCTGACCATCTCCCAGAGGCCCCACCTCCAAATGCTGCCACCTTGAGGATTAGGTTTCAACAAAAGAAATTTGGGGGATACAGGCATTCAGTCTACAGCAGTCCGGGTATGATCACTTCATTGGAATTCCCAAATAGCTTTTTTTCTTTTTAAATTAATCTATTTATTTTGAGAGAGAGAGAGACAGACAGAGAGAGAGAGAGAGAGAGAGAGAGAGAGAGAATCCCAGGCAGGCTCTGCACTGTCAGTGCAGAGCCCGACATGGGGCTCAAACCCATGAACTGTGAGATGACATGAGCCGAAACCAAGAGTCGGACGCTTAACTGACTGAGTCACCCAGGCGCCCTTTCCCAAATGGCTTTCTAAAGTGGCTGCACCTCAGTAAGTTTTAGCCACTGTCAGCCCCCGCCTTTCTCTGTTCCCTTCTCTAAGAGTGGATGGAACGACTCTCCCTTTTGTGGTCATTCCTGTCTCCCCAGGACTCTGCCTCCCCAGTTCCTTGGGACTTCACCATCAGAAAAATCATACGTTCTCTGCTGTGTCACTGCCTCATTTCTTTATCTCTACTCAAGCCACACCGATCTGGGTTTCTCTTTTGCTACTTCTCCAAAAGTCCCCTTTCCAAGGCTAGCAGTGACTGCGGTAGGTACTAAGTCTCGACGTTTTATCAACGTTTGATGCTGACCATCATCCTCTCCTGGTTTTTTGACATCTTGGTTTTCTTCCTATCACACTCCTCTTCCTCCTCCTCCTCCGTTGCCTCCTCCCCCTCCTCCCCCTCTTCCATTTCTGTCCTCAAAATTGTCTTTGTCTTTTTCCCTCTTCTGTTCCATCTGCCTGCCAGCTGAATATTGCTGTTCCCACGTTCTGCTTTGGGCCTTTTTCTCCCTTGCTGCTGACTCCTAAGTCCGTGTCTCCAGCTGTCTCTTTCCCCGAGTACCAGATGTGCTGCTTACGCATCTGCAGGTGCTGTTTCACAGGCACCTGAAACCAAGTAGAATTGAGCCACATTGTGAAATATTGAGCACAGTGATGATTCATGAAGATTGTGGAAGGGTCAAGTTGCCCAGAGATGAATCCTAGCTCTCTCTCTCTCTCTCTCCCTTGCTGTTTAACCACGGTAAGTGACCGACAACATAACAATAAAACCGTGCGCTCTGAAGCCAGATCGCCAAGGTTCAAATCTCAGTTCTGTCCATTTGTCATGGTTTACCAGATTAAAGCCTTTGTCATGCTTCCTTATAATTCCTTATTTAATTAGTTTCCTAGCTACTTTGTTGGGAATGAAGATCAGTGAGGGAAGGGATCAGAACGTCCTGTTTACCATTATATTCCCAAGGTCAAGCATAGTGTCTCTCACATAATAAGCTTTGAAATGTACTCGGTTGATGGAAAGGCTAAATGAACAAATAAATGGCTTGGGCTGGCAACAATGGACGTGCCGTGGAGATTTAGACAGTGACCCTTCTGCAAGTGACCTGACTGCTAATGAATATGCATCTACAGTGATATATTATTACTAGGTACTTGAATTATTTCCAGGTCTCTACAAATATAGAATAAGCTGATAGGGGCATCTTTCTACCACGTTCAAACGTTTTCCTTTTTTATTTCTTCTTTGGCATGGCGTCACCACGGTAGAATACTCAGCCAAGAATTCTAGGGTAATTTTAACCTCTGGTTATATAACAAAATACTTTTATGACAAGAAATGAGCCCATTTTTTCCCATGGACATTTGGGTCTTTGCCTCTAAGTAAGCATTGGCCTCCAAGGCCCATAGTGTCTTCCTTCAAGAACATGGAGATTTACACGCAGGACCCTGAGAGTCTTTTTGTCCTTGTTGTCTCCAAGAATAAAAAGAAGGCCTTAAATTAAAGTGGTAGACATGTCTTTTGAACCAGAGGAGTACCGGCTTGATTGTAAAGGAAATAAAATATTAGATTTGTAGTTTGAGACCCCTAGAGAGAACTGAAATAATGAAAAGGAGATTACCAGGAAGTCTTCTGTATGAAAAAGCAGAACCGGATGCATTTTTAAGGTTCCTGAGAGTGACTTTGGGAAGATAAGGATAATGACTATAATTGATTGCCACTTATTATGTTCCAGGCACTGCGGTAAGTGCTTCTCATGCACTATTTTCTTAGTCCTCACAAAATGCAGCTGAAGTCAAGAGCATCAGCCAGCCATGTCTATCCACCTGGCTCTGCAGACCCTGTCCTGCCCATCTCTGTCTCCTGAAGGCACCCACCAGCACGTGGGCACCCATATTTGGATTATGGATGGGGGTAGGGAGTCCCCCTTCAGTCATAAACCTACATCTCTTTCTGCAGTCCAGCTTTCACCAACACCTTGTTCAAGTTCCAGGCCTTTGTGTGGCCAGTAGTAATGTTTTCCGAATATACGGTTTTCCATTTGACTATATTTGCAAGTGTGCTCTCAGCATGGAACTCTGGGGAAAGTGGGTGAATGGCACGTTTTAGGCCTCAAAACCACACCCCGTCCCCCGCATATCCCTGGGAAGTTAGTTCTTTTACTGGGTACCTGT